TGTTTAGTGTCTTTTTACCCGACGTGACCCCATCTTTTATATTTTACCAAAAAATTGGGTAATAATAAATGTTTTATCATTTAATATAGGGGAAACTGTTTTTTTAAAAAAATTTCGGTAATTTTTCCTTAATATAGTAAAAAAATAAAACCCCCAGTGGTGAATAAATACCACCAAAAGAAAGCTCTATCTGTCCCCAAAAAAGGGTATAAAATTTATTTCAGTACAGCGCTGCATGACGGAATAAATGTCAGTCAAAGTACCGCAGCGCTGAATACTGAAAAATGGCCTGGATGGGAAGGGGGTTTAACACCGCGGATGTCAACTGGTTAAATACTCCTTAAATGTAGGGGTAGAACAATAAAATGTAATACCTCATTCCTTGCTCAGGTGCTCTCTTCTCCCCAATGCTTTGGGTCCCTTGTGCCCAAATGTACAGTGGAGGACCATTGGTTCTGCATTGTACTTGGTGACATCAGAGTGCCACCACCGGCTGAAGCTCTGAAGATACTGTGGCAGACTGGTCACACAGCTTGGAGAAAGCCTGCTGGACCAAGGAATAACGTATGCATTGAAGCTTATTCCTCTACCCCTAGACTTCATGAACATTTTAATTATGCAGTGCATGGGGACGGACTGCCAGGGATTCTTTTTTTTTTTTTTTTTAGCAAATGGCTAAATACACAAGTAAAACGTATGTGAGCTGTCTTATCTTCCAAAAGTTTTAGAAATCAGCCACCCTTTACTGCATATTCTGATTTACGGACCTTAATTAATTCCACTGTAGTAAAGCAGTATAGCTTGGTCCCTGACTGATAACTGGACACTAGAGGAACATCAGCTCGATGAGGTCATAAGTCTCTTTACTATCATTTTTGTCAGCTTGTTTGCAGTGTTGAGGTGAAAAATGCTGTACAAGACAGTAGGTTGTGATTGGTCTACAGCCCTAAACTCTTCAGTTCCTTGAGTATCTATGGCAGCACCTCTAATAATAACCAGTTTGTCTCAGCACAGCCAATTTCATATTAATATTTCAAACAGACTTTACTGTCTTGAAGATCTCATGAGTCATGTATGTATTCTATAAATTGAATGCAAAGTACCAGGATGAAAATATATAAACTCCATGCTAATAGTTGTTTTGGTTAGAATTAGACTGTAATGTACTACTGCAAGCACACAGTGCAAACAGCTGAGCCTCTGCAATGTAGAGCTAAAGGCCTAATAATTAGCTTTTTGTGCTTGCACCAGGAGCCTAATATTGGGAGGTCAAGGGTGCACCCATCTTCTAAGCAGGCTCTTAAGAGATGGGAAAATTTGTGTGGGAGATTTTTCCAATCTTACATAAATAGACCAAATACCAGGATCTTCCATGATCTTTGCCTGACACTGACATCATAGTGAGTACATACTTCTTGTCCTACCTTCAGTGCATTGTCCAACAAATTGCAGTTTCTGTATCTTCCATTAAGGGACACTGGAGTTTAGAAACAGTTGGGTTATTCTGACGCCTTTATAAGTTTGGGAAACTGGAGTTGGAGGCTGAAAAATAGTCTGGTTTTTCTTTTGCCTTCTTCAACCAAAATTCTTCACTACACCGTTGCCTGAGCTGGTTTCTATATAGCAGCTCTCCGGATCAGTGTTTCCTCAGCATTAGAATGAAGGTAAGTATGCATCTGGGGCAGGGAATTGTGGGAATGAGAAAAATAAGGGCACTTTGATTGTCCATTTGGACACATCCCTAGACTTCTACAGTTGCTATTTCTTCTGCACCTTGACTTCAGTGCGTTATGTGTTAGAGAAGATAATTATATCTGTTGAACCTCTATAAGGTTTATTGAAAACCAGAAGCTATATTCAGTAATGCCAGAGAGACAGATTGGTCTTTATTACCTGATTGTCTTAAATTACAGCTCTTAGATATTAGAGACATAAACTTTGTCACATCGGATAATGGGACAGATATTAAAGGAGATTGCTAGATCCATGTGTTGTTGAGAAACCAAAGTGTTTTAACCTTCAGGCTAAATACTACTTAAACTCTTTTATTAGAGTGCTGTATCATTTAGTTGTGATTTTGAAATAAGCTGAATTCAGACCGTTGCCAATGGTACTGCAGCTTTATTTTGCAAATAAATCTTTAATTACAAAGGTTAACATGCACATTTCTACATCCGGTAGAATGAGTTTCAACTCAATGTACTTTTTACTTTCCTGATAAGAAATAAAAACAAATAGGTGCTGATTGCCCTAATTATTTCAAGATTGTAGGGTAGGAGTTATAAAGACACACGATGTGTCAGTGAGGTACCTATGAAAATACAGGCATTGACTTATTAACCAATTAATGTGTACTATTTTTCTCGATTTTTGACCATGCACCATATTATCATCTGAGGTTCAGGAAACCTAACTAACATTTTTCTGCTTATTTTTGTAGATTTAGTCAAGGGTATGCAGCACTGCTATTGTATTGCTAGGGACAAATCAAAAGCTCATTTTCTTTAGCTTCTACTCTGCACTGCTAAATATAGTTAAAGGAGAACTATGGTGTTAAGGCTTTTCCCCATAGTTCTCCTTAGGGTAACGGGAGGACACAAACTAGCGTCCTCCCGTCACCCTAAGCTCAGTATACCGCGAGCTACAGCTGAGACGCCGCAGCTAAAGCGGATCCCGACAATTATGTCTGGATCCGCCCAGCTCCGTGAGTGACAGCTGGCTCTGCCTATCTAGAGGCAGAGCCAGCTGTACCCTCCCCCGTCCGTTCCGCCAGTCAGCGCTGGAGGATCGGAGCGGGGAGGGGGGAATCCAGCCCCTCCCCTGTCACGGCAGAGAGCCGTGACAGGATCGAGAAGTGAGCGAACGCCGGTATGTGTTCACTCACTTCCCGATCTACTGAGCCGACCTGTGACAGTTTCATTGTCAGAGGTCGGCTAGAACTATGAGGTGAGTGAAAAGCACTCACCTCATAGTTCTCCTTTTAAGTATGTCTAGCTGCACATACTTGTATTGTTGGCAGCTGAAATCTGTTACAAAATTAGGATTTCTTGGTCCCATGATTAGGGCAGAATAGGGTCCTAGGCAAGGTAGCAGCTTTGATCCCCCTTCTCTTTAATTGACATTGAAGTAAGCACAGAGAAGCTATTCTATTTGCATTGTCTGTGCTGCCATGCACTGTCCATTAGACACCGACTGCCTACAATTACATCCTCCCTTTTTAATGTGATAGGCAGGTACATAACTTTCGCCAACTGCTCTACCCCCCTAATTTAATGGAGGGCCATAAGCTCATGCTTGTGGTTGCATTGTGGATAAGGTATCTCTGTTATGACATAACAGCGCCAGCCAGCCATATTATGGCTGTATTATAGTTTGTAAAGTTTGCAGTAAATCTAGTTAAAATGTTATCATGATTTTTTTTCCATTGTGTTGCTAACAAAGTTTTTATATATTTGATATGATATGTTTTTCTCTGCAGGTTTTGCATGATTGTGTCTATGGCTCCCAACATTTTAGCAACCCGCGGTACTTTCCCATGAGCCTTTCAGATCTGACATCTGAAGACTATGATCCCTTTCTGCAGCTAGAATGTCTGAAAGAGCCTGAACCACTCCACTCCCCAGATTCTGAGCGCTCCACCAAGCTGCAGCCCGTTACTGAAGGTATTTCATCTGTATAAGTAGTGCATGGAAGATTTTACTCTGAAGCTGCCCATACACCTTACAACCATAGCACGACTTTCGTTGTGCGATGGTTGTAAGGCGATTAAAATGTTGTACGAACTGCCCATCTTGGACAGGCAGATCGTACTTGCGATCATCGCAAGTCCTCCCCGCTGAGGGGAGGGCTTACAGATGATTGCAGAGGTGAGCAGGCAGTGTGCGCCTTTCATCTTGCGATCGTGCTACCAACCCGTGCTCGTAAGACGAAAGTCGTGCGACCTTACAGTATATGCGGTCGCACGCTGCCCATACACCTTAGGATTATTGAACGATCGCGGGATCACACTGAACTCAAGGCAAACCTAAATCTAAATATACATGTGAAATACATATTATGAGAGATGTCTTACCTGCCAAAAGATATCTGTTTCTGTCCTTCCAGTCCTGTGAATTACATAGCACAGCTAGGAGGATGGCTCAACTGTCTCTATTACAATTGAGAAATAAACTATTAACATCACTCTGTCTCTGTTCTGCTGACTGGTCTGTAAGGGAGCAGCAGGAGATTGGTGAGGTCAATCCTGTGCTCACTCTGCTTTCTCTCAGTTTATCAGTATATTCTTTGTCGGCGTATTTGAATGCAGCTTACCTGACTGGCCCTCTGTGCTGCCTCTCCATTTCACAGTCTGAATGCTGTTGTATGGGGAATTAAGAGGCTTACATCAAGTCAAATTTAGGTACTCACATTAGTTGCATTTAAAAAGCACTACATTTAATAATTTATTAACTAACACAAGGCCGCATAAACGTGTTGCTTTTTTATCTGCCTGATGTTCAATTGTAAACGAAGAGTTTTTTAAATGGATATTTGTCTCAATGAGACCCTGTCACCAGACAATGTATGTCAACAAAAACATTTCTGTAAGATTATATGTGGGTTTGATGTATTTTATTTATGTTATAGACTTGTAAAAAGCTCCCTTGAGTAGGCATTCAAAAGACCTTAAACTGCTTGACACGATACTGTGCACGGGTGTCCCCACACCGCGTGCAGGTATCTCTACAGGAGAACCAAATACGTGACTACACCAAACAATGCTAATGAACTATAATTTATTAGCTACTCCAAAAACACCACAACCATAAGCCCCACCAACACCCACAAGTAACATATAAAAGGCTAACTAATACAAATGACAAAGTACACACTGGAGACAACAGGGCAAACCCTGGGGAGCAGGACAACAAGAGGGCAGCCACCGATCAGGAGACCTCAGGGGTAAGGTTCAGGAATCATGTCGGAGTCCGGGTTCAAGGCAAGAACAGGAAACAGGATATGGCAACAAGACTGAGGCACAGGCCTCACTGCAGGGAGAGGCTAAATACCCTCCCAGATCAGCACCAGGTGGTGACTAACCACTGATCGCTGGGACACCCGCAGGTGAGCGCTGGAACTGCAGGACCTGGTTCCAGCGTCAAAGTGCCACCTGGAGGTGCTGAGCTCCCTGACAGTTAGGCCTTGTTCACACCAAATGCAGAGCAGATCCGGTCAGGTTTCTGCACATGCACGCTAGTCTTTTAGACACGTTTTTTATGCGTTCCAGGCTCTTTTTGGTAACAAAAAAATAATTGTATTTAACGTTTAAAATGGGCTTTCAATGCATTCCAGGCATTTGCATGCATTTTTGATGCGTTCCAGAGCAGGTTAAATAGGGCCTACTGCAGTTTTTTCACCTGCTCTGGATCTGCTCTGCAACTGCACGCTGCGATGTGAACTGGAGCAAAAAATACCATTGGAATACATTGGACGCAGTTTTGATACGGTCTGCAACTGATCTGCTCTGCACCTGGTCTGCGCTTGGTGTGAACAAGGCCTTACTGGCTGCCTGGAGACACCTGCAGGTGAGCACTGGAACTGCAGGATCTGGTTCCAGCGCCACAGTGCCACTTGGAGGTGTTCTGGTCCATGACACTGCTGCTGAGGGGCTCTGCCATCTTGGAAGTTATGTCACCAGCCTCAGCAGACTGCAGGCAGCTTTCACTCAATGACACTCTGTAATATCCCCCTTTGTTTCTCCCCTGGCAGCTACATAAATGGTTATGCAGTGGGGTGAAGGAGCTAGGCCACCACAGTATTTAGACACTCCTGTAAAAGAACAGTGCTATGATTTACAAGTAGAGAAGGGCATTGACTAGTCAAATTTTCCAGCACATTCAAGGTACGTTGCAAGTGAGAAAAAAAATAATTGATGGGAAGGAAAATACTGCAAGTAAGCATGTCAAATACTTGATTTGTATGTGCTTTTTCCTGCACTTTTTTTGGTGGCAGGGTCTCTTTAAACTAACACAGAATGATTGTTACCCGAGTTAAAGTATAGGAAGCAGTTTTTTTGGGGGGGGCGGGGGTTTCTTCTTTTTTTTTTGTGTAAATAGTTTGAACTGTGTTCAGTATGTAATCTGTTTTCCCCTCACAGTGATGCCTTCAAAATATTGAGTGCCAAAATAAACTTTTATATCCATAATTCAGGTTTTTCACACCAAAAAATAGAGGAGGGCGTCACGCCAGGTCCCCTAATGGTAAAAACAGCAATTCTATTAACAATCATGGCACCAGTTGAAGGTTTGTCAGCGGGATGTCATACACAAATCATTTCATTTCTTGGATCAGCAAATAAATTGAATCCTCCATATGGGTCTCAGTTCATCCATGGGATTTAGACTTGTTTAGACTGCTGCCTCATTTCCTGGATTTAAAAGCATCTTTTAAAATGAGCACAGAAGTTATTGGATGCCAAGTTCTTGCTTCTAGACCTACTTTTTTCTGTATTTGAATAACAAGATGTTCTTACTATCGTGCGTGATAACAGGATGCAGGATTTTTTGTGAGCTATAAATTGTTCGGAAAACGACATTTATCACCTATAGATTTCTTGGTTTACTTGCTCTTCAACATATTTGATATTGTGCACTGACCATCCCTCTTCATGTCTACCCCGTGCTGTCCACTTCCTGTACAGGGGGCAGTTATAGGTTATCTATAGTAAATGGCCAAGGTCCTTTTTTAGAACATTGTGCCTACAGTGTTTCCTGGGAGTGCATTTGTTAGGAGGAATTGTTAGAAGACACAACCATTTATGATACTTGACTTTACTTCACATTGGGTCTGTTTATTTTGCAATAACTTTTTCATTCCTTAAGATGATAAAGTAATACATATACAAATTTTTGGGGACAAATTAGGCTTTCTTTTGGCAATATTGTCTTGCAAAGATTATTTTGTTTTCAGTGTAATCTACAGACAAAATAATGTAAAAAGGCATTTTTTTTGTGCATTTTAATTTTTATGTGACTGAAAAAAATAGCAAACCGCACAATTGAGGAAAAGTTAAATGTTAGTAGAAAAAAAAAAGAATCACTAAGGGAAGGAAAGTTATTTAGGGCTGAATAAGGTTATCTAAGGGTTAATAATATATTAAATAGGAATACATTTTATTGGTTCTTTTATTCCCAGTAATTGTGTTTTTATATGGAATGTTCTGGCTACAGTATTCTAATTTTTATTTTCTTTGTATTCTTTTTGGTTTTGGGGTCTTTATTTTATGATATGCCCATTCTATCATATGCTTATTTTAGTTGCATATACTTAGCTTTCCTAGATCTTAGTTTTCACACTAAACAAAAAATACATATTTTCTTTGTGACATTTTCAGCTTTGCTGGCTTGTGTCTTTATAGGCTGCTCTGTTTTCAATTGAATATGAGCAGTAATGTGCTGTAAATGACATATCCACTATAATCATTTGAGCTATAAAATGCACCCTGTGATTGGCATAAGGTCATTAACATGCTGTGTATTTTGTGAAACCTAATGTCCCAAACTACTAATAAAAATGTAATTTGTCACACAATAGAGAATAATTGTTTCTCTTTTAAAGTTTAAGGTTTTACACCTAATATAGGACCTCCAGGAATGTAAAAAGTTAGCCCTTGCAGTGGGGTTGTCCCCGCACTGCAAGGGTTAACTGCTCGTTTTTATCTAGGGGCACAAATGAAACAAATATACTCACCCGATCCTCGATCGAAACAACCAGTTAACCCTTGCAGTGCAGGGACAGCCCCACTGCAAGGGTTAACTTTTTGCATACCTGGAGTTTTCCCAGTTTAATGTTTGGCAAATTTTAATTTCTTCGGATGATAAATGAATTGGATGGTTCTCCTAAACTTGTGATAATAGAAGTGTGGGAGCTGATATTGCTCCTTGGCAGTCACTGACCTGGTACAAATATGCAGCCTTTGAAGTCTGAAAAGTCCGAACCCCTGTCTTGCCTACTTGTTCCTGGTCAATGTCTCCCAAATTCTGGATCAGGATTACATCCTTGGAGCCTGCAGCAAAAAAAAAAAAAAAAAAGCTTACAATGGCCACCACCTATTTTGTTGTTTTAGTTTTCCCTTTAAGTCCACCTTTAGGGTAACATCTGCAATCTTTAGGGTAACATTTCCCTGCCATCCTGCATGAAGCCCCATACTGAAGATACCTTAATCTAAGTGATCGCTTTAAGAGCTACCAACCGACAGTTTGCATGGCTACTAGTTGTAGGGTCCTCACTTATGTTTGGGAACTAATCAAAATCATGCCATCTCATCCGTAAAATAGTGATCAGATACTGAAAGGTCAGTACAGTAAATAACTGCCATTTAGAGGCCACTGCAGCCTCTAGGTGGCAGTGTGATGCTATTTAATAATGTAATTTGTTAATAGTATTAAAAATTTTAAAGTTAAACAATAAATAATACCAAAAAAAATAAAAATATATATAAAAAAAAAAAAAAAAAAAAAAATATATATATATATATATATATATGAATATGCACATGAGAGAGGCTTCCCTAAGAACTATGGTTTTTCTGAATGGCTGCATAGAAGTAGATATCTCCTTTCAGGCAGGGTATCTCTAATTGAAACATCTGGCCATAACAAATAATCAAATGTTAAAGGAATTG